GCTGACAACTCACTCTTACGCACCTCCCTCTGTTCCCACAGTGCTGCTGTCCTTTGCAGGACAGCCAATTCCATCACCTTGTCATCTTTGATCAATTTGAACCTCCATTCCTACGCAAACCCTGCTCCCAGGGCTGGCCCACAAAGGGCACCCTCCTGGTGCAGAGAGGTGACACACAGCCTCCTCCCTGCCAACAGTCCCAGCTCAGGAGAACCTCTGGACTGCACTGAACTGGGAAGGCAGGACCCTAAGACCTTGGCTTCTTGCACAGTTACCAATTTATCAGTTAGAATTCAGCCCCGTTTCAAGACCCCTCCAGTAACCCACACTTGAACACACCAGGCAAATACCTTTAGAGGAGCAAAGCTATTCACACACACCACAGGCTCTCAGCAGCAGCATAAAGCAACAAAGGGTTGGGCAGCATTACAAGCCTGAAACTACACAAGGTCCTTGTTTTCTGAGGCAATCTGGAGGTGTCACCACTGCAGGCCTACAGCCCCCTCACCCCGAGCATCGCATTTACCTGAGACAGCCGGAGCCAGCTCTTTGGCCGTGCAGTTGGGCAGGTTCACGATGGCTGACGCAGCTTCATAGACCACCATCTCGTGCTTGTTCCTCAGGCAGCTCTCGATGAAATCAAACAGGGGGCTGTCACGGCTAGGGGACAAAAACCCCACAAGAATGAGTTAAACCAAAGGCACTAGCAGAAATAAAGAACCCAGAAGCAAACAGGTACCAGAGCCTGTGGTAAAAGCAGCCACTATTCCTGGATTTTGCACTGGTCATTATACCACACTTGCATCATGCTGGGGCTGGAAGTCAGGCTGCCTTTGGAGAAGGCACCCTCTGCTTTACAGGCTGCAGGGGATCTTCCTTATCCCTCACACACCAAGAGCTGACAGTTCACACCACAAGCCTTATCCTCCAGGAAGCCACGCTGCATACATGGCAGCCAAATAATTACAGAAGAATTACAATTACAGAAAACGAGATGGAGTATCTCACTAAAGAACAGCTACGCAAAACAGGCCAAAGAGACAAGAAAGTATTCAGCGTGCAAGCAGAGAGACAAGACTCACAGAAGACACCTTATAACAACCATGAAAGCATCCCATATAATAACAATAATAGAGTAGAAGCTGCATTCTCCTAGAAAGACATAAATAATTGCCCTCATGAGATGGCAATTGAGCCTGCAAGAGGAGATGGAAGCAGGACCTGCGGGAATTCCCCCAGCAGGGCAAAGGAGCCCCCTCACCTGCCAGCCTCCTCCTCCAGCAGCTTGCTGGCTACTCGAATCATCATGCAGTAAGCGAAGGGTGACTTGAGGCCGTGGCGCGTGAACTTGCTGAGCATCTTGTTGACGGCCAGGCGGTCGTTCTTGCGCACATGGTACAGCAAGCCCAGAGCGTGGTACTGCACAGAGAAAGAGACTGTCACAACCCCACAGCGTGCTCTGCCCCCTTCATCCTCTCTGCTGCACAGCAGTGCCTGGCTGAGCACTAGCAGTTTGCTCCACTCCCACCTCCTGCTTGCTATTCCCTATGTGGTGGAGGGTCTCCTACCTGCACCATGATGTTGTCACTGGAAGCTGCCTCCTGAGCCTCATTCACCCAGCGTTTCACCACATCATAACTGGTCTTCAGCAGGTGCTGGGGGGAGATAAAGCCACAGACAACCAGTGAGAAAAGGACAGAGGAAGCATTGGGAATCACAGCTCATAGCAAGAAGCAATGAGCCTTCCCCCATGAGGGTGCTGCTGGCAACACTTCATAGAAGAGTGAGGGATAAGCATGCAGAGATCTGGCCATTACAGCTGTGGCCCCAAGAGGCTCATGATCTCCTATGAAGTCAGCGCCAGTCCCTTGGCTCCCAACATCTCCCGTCCCACCACAGCCGACCACTTCCCAGCTTGGCTGTCCCTGCGGCCCGCCCTGCAGGGAGTACATACCAGGGAGGACACCAGAGCAGAGCTGGATACACTTGGCACTTTGTCCACGATGGCCTGCTTCATGTAGCGCTCAATGGCCTGCAACATGGTGCTCTGCAGGGAGAGGGAAACCACAGCTGAGAGAGAAAAGCCATTGGGAGTGTGAAAGACGAGATGCAAAGGCATG